TGTTAAGTCCAAATGTGAGTAAGAGAAAGACGGGAGAGTTTTCGAGCAAAACGGGGTGGAACCTCCATTGTTCTTACCAGAGTTCCGTAGTTTTTCTTGAATAGTGTGTACTTTGTCGTACGAGTACTTGATTTCAATTGTCCTGAAACAGTTATTTTTGTCCATTTTGATCTTGGGTACTGGAGAATATTTGCCAGGTTACTCACTTATCCATTCTCATGAGTCAGCCTCCAAATATTATCCTTGGTATGTGGACACTGGTCTCTGAGGCCACGTAAGCCCACACGAGAGGAAGGCATGAGGGCATTGATACCGAAAGTGCACCAAGAACCTCAAGAGGAGCTTGTACCTCAAGAGGAGTCTTGAGAAGATGTGACTTCAACGTAGCTTAGAGCTTTGTGTGTGTGCAGAGGGTGCAGGTGCCCTGGGTACAGGGGTTGGCATTGACTCGCCACTCAGCCCAGGACAGTGTCCCTGAGGAGCGAGTTCGAGCTCAGGTTGGCTGATGTCAGCATCTTATTTGGTAGAGTGATGTCTGATAGGTTCTTAGAGAATTAACAAACGTAATGATCTTTAGAAGATCTTCAAAACATGTCTCTGTGGAAAGCACTACAGTCCATTTGTAAATTAGTAAGCAAAAATGACTCTGAGAAAAATGAATTTGGGGAGTGTTCTGCAAGGTATACTTGGGAAGTGGTAGAGGTATTGTGGTCCGTGGTGACAGGTGAGTGAATTAAGGACAAATCATCTCGGACTCACCGTGATACTAAAATTTGGTAACTGTGGTGAGTTTTATCTATTACAGCTTTCTTATCCATGAAACAGGGCAGGGTGTTTCTCTGCCTGCTTTACACAGGGTTAGAATTATGGTACTGGTTACAGAGATGGAGAAAATAAATCTGAATACTAGAGAGAATAATTCAGTGGCAGGTGCTGAAAGGTGTCGACAAAGAATGAAAGAGAAAGTACTGGAAGGTAACCCACACACAGGTAGGGTGAGAACTGAAGAGGGCAGTTGTAAAGAAGATTTCAACACCATGAGGTCTGTGATGTAACATTTGACCCCCGAGGTGCAGGCAGGGACAGGGAGTGCCATACCTGTGGTCAGTGTGTCTGCCCTCAGATCAGTGTCTCATTGTCTTACTTAATTTTGAAATGGTATATATGAAGGCTGTATAAAATGTAATAATACTGTATTACCTAAGGTTAAAAATGATTGAAGACTAACTTTTTGTCTCATACACATGAAAAGTAGTACACTATAAATGTTTCTCTTATATTGTGGTTTGTTTGTTTGTTTTTTTAGATTTCAGTTGTGAGTGACCTCTTAAAAATTATCAGGTGTGGAGATATAGCTCAATGATAGAAAGTGTGCTTAATATGTGCCTGGCCGCCGGTTCAAGCTCCACAATCTTAGATTGCAAATCATTTCATTGACAGTGGCACCATCTTTACAAAAATGTTTGTTCGTGTTATTTTTTCATTCCTTCATGAAACTGTGCTACATCATTCAGAAGGTGAGATCACATAATTTTGGAAGTAGTGCCACTTTCACTAAGAAAATAAAATTATCTTTTTATTTTAATTCCAAACTAATTTTCATTGGGTCTCCCTGGAATCTCGTTTAAATTTGTGAAGGTATCTTTTAACAATAATCTAGATGATAAAATGTTGAGATGATTATTTTCTGAACAACCGATTTAAAGAAAGGTATTTTCTCTTGGATTATAAATGTCCTCTCAGCAAATATGAGAAATAGAAATCCACGTAATGCTATAGGAGAGGGTTTAATGTGTAAATTCTGTATCTGGATATTTCATAGTCAAATTCTAGCTTGAACACGTAGTGTCTTAGAACTTTATTGTCTAAAAATGATGGATAGCCATGCAAACTTCAGAAGGCTTCTAAAGTTAAATGAGAGTACAGAGTGTTTAAAACAGTATGTGCCACTCAGTAAGGCTTTTTATCAATAAATATACATTTATGTTATTATGTTATTAATATCACAAAGTGTACAGTTACATAAAATACATGTGTGTGTATGTATACAGACACAATGTGTTTGTGTCCTCTGTTAGTATTTGGAAATTTAACTTGAACATTGCTATTTATCAGGTATTCCTATTTATAAATTTTTATTTGTGAACTGAATCTTATTTTCCATTTTGGTTATCCTTTATGTTTGATTGCTTCATAGAGTGAGAACTGAAGAGGGCAATTGGAAAGAAGATTTATAAAGCAATCAAATATAAAGGATACCAAAATGGAAAATAAAACAAGATTCAGTTTAACTTCAATTTAACTTTTAATTTTTCATTCAAGCAGTCTTAGTGCTAAACTCAAAGTATTTCCATCTGACTCACAAGGCCTCTCAGGAACAGCAGTAATTCAGTGCATTCCTTCTCTGTCACTTTGGAACCCTCTGTAATTATATAGAGGAGTGGAGATACTGTGTGAGGAGATACTTCAATGCATTTCCGTACAGAACATCAAACTTTTATGTTCCTCTTGAGTACTTTCCTTCTAAGTAGTCACACACTAATGTTTAGAGTAGTGACTTATAGAAATACTTTGAGATCAGTTAAAATAATGAGGGAGAATTGAGTACTATTACCTTACAGCACAGCATCATCGGACAGGGCGCATCTCTTGTCTGCCCCGGTATTTGTTTAATTTTCCTCACTGTTTTTCTTCTGTCCTGTGCATTACATCCCAGCTGTCCTTCCGCCCAGGAGGCTGAGTGGCAGCCAGCGAGTTTGTTTGTAATCTGAGCTGTCTGCGCACTCCGCAGTGCCCAGCGTGGCTGTCATTTAGTGAAGCCCTAAGACATCGCACAACCAAACTGTAAATTGAGGACTCTGCGTCCTTACAAAGAAAGGAAAGCATGACCGAGAACTGTAGCTATGTCAGTCAAATTCAAAGGCCCATGTAGTGATATACTGCTACTGTTCAGTCTCAATTTATGAGAGCCCAACACACACAATTCCTAATAAATAGACTTTCTTTTAATTCATGAGAATGTCAGTATTTTGTTTACCCAGTCTCCATTTTTGAGGCCCTCTTACATGGTTGTTTTGCTCTGCTGTTTTGTTTGCTTGTATGGTACTGAGGATTGAACTCAAGGCTTTTGCACTGAGCTATATCCCAAGCCATTTTTATTTTGAGACAAGGTCTTGCTAAGTTGCCCAGGCTGGACTTCAACTTGGGATCCTCCTGTCTCAGCCTCCCAGAGTGCTGGAATAACAGGCATTCACTACAATACACAGCAGGTGTTTGGTTCTTTAAGGAGAAGTGATACAAACTGGAGGAGTAACAGTCTCTGTTCTCAAGCACATCTTATTACACTGTAGAGGTCAGCACAATAGGAAGATACAGTGCTCGAAGAGGTAGAGAACAGGAGGTAAACATGACTGCTGCAGTCTCTAGTGAAGTGGGCTGGTGGGTATCGGACAGAACTCTTAAGTGCTTAGCTTTAAACTGTATTTCCTGGATGAGAAAGAAAGACCTTCAGGGTGATGATAATTTGGGGAATGCCATGATTGTTCAGATATGTAAAACATTTTCCAAATCGGATTTGCACGTTGTTCAAAAAAAATGGGAACAGTTAACCTATGTAAACAGTCTATAATATTGAAAGGACAGGTGTGATTTATTGAAAGAATGCTTGTTCAGTGAAATTCAGCCTGTTGCCTGTGAAGTTGCTGGCGTGCCATTCGAGTAGTCAAGGGTGCCATTTAAATAAGGATTTAGATTGCTCTTGTGATGCAGACCTTAGTAACGGGCCAGACATGGGTGAGTGCTTACTAGAAAAACCATAGCAAGCACTATCATATAACATTTTCAAATCCTCCTTCAAGGTATAATATTTTTATTGTGAAGTTTCTGCTACTTTGTTTCATATTACAATGTATCTGATTTTAATCAACAGTGATTTCATAAAGGAGAACTCAATTTTCATTTTATGCTATTGACTTTCTGCTCCATAGCTTTTTCCTTATCCTTTTTGGGACAAGATGCTAGGATAGCTAATGAATTTTGTCACTGTTTTGGCATGCGTACAGTTACTTAACATTCTCCTAAGAGCCAAATACTAATACAGAAAGAGCATAATGCATGCTAAATACTACAATAATTAGTTGAACTGATGCCTGTGTAAAGCTCATAAATAGACTTACTAAAAGGCTCAGAAACTGATGTGACTAGCTGCAGAATGGTTAGAAAACATTTATACCTGGAAGAAAACAAATTGAAGGAAAATACTTTTCTTTATAAAATGCCTGTCATTTTGCTTACTACTTTGATGATGAAAAATAGAAAAATATGGTATATTAAAGTGAAGAAAAATCATGTACATTAATGATTTAATTAATTTTTTGTATTCCTGTTTTTTAAAATTTGAATTTGTGTAGATGTTTTAGTCACTGTCTCCATGTATGTATACATGAATGCACGGCAAGAACCGATATCTGTGTGTGTTTGGTTGTATCACATGCTGCACTGAGGGCTTTCTCAATGTCTTTCCCACAGCCTTAGGGAAAGCAGTACTTAGTGTGTGCGCTGGGTTCAGTACCCAGAGCCACCCATGGGGACGGGGCACAGAGGAAGGGAAAGAGGAAGTGAGGGAGATTATTATTTCACACATCCCAGTATCTAGCTAGTAAGAAGCCTGTTAAAGAAACCAGAATATGTCTTGGAAAACTCAGAATTTATTCCAAAGCTTTGTGTTCTTTTAATTAGGAAAATATTTAAGTGCTATACCTAAGAAAATTGTCACAAGCCCAGTGAATTTGATGCAAGGGTATGGGTCCTGTATTTCCTCACTTTCCTGTTTTTACCATGGTCGGCAGCAATAGCTCAAGCACTGTGAGAAAAAGTTAAGAAATGAGAAAGTTAAAAGTTAAGAAATGAGAAACATTACAGTAGTTCAACAATAACTGTAGAGTAAAATAAACACTTTGTCCTTGTCTAATTGAATCTTTTCTTGTTTTCTTTTTTTACAGACATGCATAATTCGATAAATCAGAGGGAAAAAACATGGATATTTAGCAATTAAAGAACAAATTAAGGTAATAACACTGTAATTTGTATTTGTTAATAATTTTAGAATATATTTAATATACATTTAAGTTATAGACCTTTATGAATTTTTATCATATTTAAAATATGGTATATTTTAAGTGGACTTTTATATTTTTTGGCAACTCAATTGATATTTATCATTATACATCTTTAGAAAATACTTTGACATATTTTCTGAACAAATTGTAGTAATGTATTTGACCATATTTGCTGAAGTAAAAAAATATGCTCCAGCCCTATCAAAAATAAATGGTCAAAAAAATAAACTGTTTTAGTTAGCTCTCTACTTTTTGGGAACTTACACATATTGTGTTAACGTTTTTGACTTATATTAAATAATTGCACTGAGCTCTTTTTGCTATTATAGCACAAACATCTGCACAGTGGATTATTGTCATTTTCGTTAAATTTATTTCATTTGTTCTCAGCTCATACCTATAAACATGAATATGAATATCAGGAACTGAAATGCACTCATTTTATATTTAGCAAATTATTTATCTAAAGTAAATTATGTTCAAAGTGATATTTCTATATATCACAGCTATATTTTAGGATATATATGAAAAGTTTCAGAGTCAATCTTGGGTCAGTGTGCATATTTACCTCTTCCCCTGCAAATTATCACTGGCAAACAGGCCTTTATGTTAGTGAGCAGCAAAAGTGCAGCTTCCTCTCTTCTTGGAGTTACTGAAATTAATTCCTGTAAAATGACTCTGCAGTGTTTAGCATGGAAATTATAAATATACAGCTTAGAATTAGAAATATTACCTTTTTCATGTTGTTCACACTAACATGATTTATGTTCACTCAATTTTGAACCATTGATATAATAATATACTTATGCTGGGTGGGGTGGTGCATACCTGTAATCTCAGCACTGGGGAGGCTGAGGCAGGAGGAATGCTGAGAGTTTGAGGCTGTATAAGCAAGTTCAAGGCCACCTCAACTACACAGCAAGACCCTGCCTGAAATAATAATAATAATATACTTACATAATGGTATGTATTCTAAACTACTTCAATCTATTTTCAAAAATTCTGTTCTTTTTCATTTACTAAAGGTGGTAAGTGATTTAGGACAAGAAATATGGCACTTGGTTTTGTAGGCAGCAAGTTTTTCAGCTGATATTCTTGCTTTTAAATATTTTGCCTTAATTTTGTTGGCATCGTTTTCGTATCTGTAACATTTTCATGTGCAAACAGTATCTTTCCACTCTCAGAGCAGATAACATTGCATCTTTCATTTGTTGGCTTAGTGGCTCATTGCATTGAATATGAAATGTATTTTTTGATACCAGATGTTAGTGAAATTAACTAATTAAATTAATGAATAGAGTCCCTTTTCATCATTGTTCATTTTAATCCAAATAAGCCTTAAATGCACTTACTCCACTGACTGTGGAGTTTGAAAGCTGGTGGGGAAGTGAAGCTCGCATCACATACTATGTGCATTTTAGGACAGACAGTGACAAATGGCCATTCACTTCTGTTGGAGGCTCCTGCAGCCCTCCCAGAGGCTGTGAAAGTCACCGAGACCGTGAGGAGATGGTGAAGAGGAGTCCAATATTGCCAGCCCACAGATTAGTCAGTGAAAGAGCGAGACATAGTTATTGAAGGGTGGGTGTTTCTGACGGAGCAAAAGGATCACATAGGTGATGAGACAGTCCCAGGAAATGGGTTGGTAAAGCAGGTCTGGAACTCCTATGATTTTTTTTTTTGGGTGGGGGGTTCTGGTACCAGGAATCGAACTCAAGACCTTGTGCTTGCCAGGCAGGCGCTGTGCCGCTGAGCTAAATCCCCAGCCCCTTGGAACTCCTATGAAATATCGTTTTTGACAAAAGAGGTTCTAAGTTTGTAGCCCAGATGGCATCTAGATACTCAAGATCATTCTGGGGATGTGGAATAAAATTTCAGAAACTTTCTTCATATGTGTTTTCCTTAAGAAATTTAAGAAACAATTCAGGCTTAATGACATTCCCTTTAATGACTGTGGCAGACTTCAAAAACAACATATCTAGAAGAACAGTAGTGATTTTTACCATGTTGAATGATTGGTGATTTGTTTTCTGGGTTATCCACTGGGATATACCTTGTATATATATGTAATAAACTTACCATGATAAAGTGAATTAAATGATATGTAGCATTCATGTATGCTTTTTCACTTACCATAATGTTTTTGAGCTTTAGACTCATTTAATATGATTAATTTTTAATGCATGAATAATATTTCATTATATGCATATACCAGGTTTTCTTATTCATCCTACAGTTGATGGACATTGGGAGTTTTTTTGTGTTTTAACCTGTTATGTATAATTAAACACGGTACATTTGTGTAGAAGTATTTGTACTGTTGTATGTATTAATTTTTTACTTTTTAATTTTTTGTATTCATTTTTATTAGTAATATACATGAAGATAGAATTGCTGGGTCATATGATAGCTTTGTGTTTAGTTTTTTGAGGATCTTCTAAAATGTTTTCGGAAGTTTTTAGACCATCTAACATTCCAGCCACAGATATAGGAGTGTTCCAACTTATTCACGTAATTGCCAAAATTTGTTACAGTGTGTCCTTGTGACTAGAGCCACTCTAGTGACTGTCAGGTGGGATCTCATTTCGGTGCAGTTGTTTGTGGGATAGTTGTTTCCTACAGTGTTTTAGTGTACTGGTGTTGTGGTGTTTGCTTATATTAGTCACCTTTCCACTGCTGGGCACAATACCTGATGTCCACAACCTGTAAAAGGAGATCTTTGATTGTCTTATGTTTTATTGGCATTCAGCCCATGGTCAGCAGCTTTCAAGACAGAAATACCATGGCAGAAGGGCACGGTGGACCAGAGATGCTTAGTTTATGACATATGAGATGCAATGCAGGGGAACAGGGGCAAAGGAACAGATATAGTTCCCAAGGCCACACGTCCCTGAAATATCCAGACACTCACTGAAGTGTGTCCCACCAACCTCCATGGTGTGTACCAAAGCCGATCAGGAAGACACTCCAGCCTAAGAGCCATACTGCACGGTGGCCCTTGCCAACTTGACATCCAAAACTTCTCCTTAAACCATCCTTATCACCAAATAAAAGGCAACAACAAGGTCAGAATTCTACCTAAAATAAGTATTGTGTGTACAACTGGAAATGGAACAGTCTCTTCCCCAAAGGCACAATATTTACAGTGTTTTCCAAAAGTACAAGTCTAGTTTTATTGTAGGACTCAAAGCAAACTCTTAGCTGTGAATCTCTGTTAAAAAAAAAAAAAAGAAAGAAAAAGAAATTACAAATTCCTAAGCTACAGCAGCATAGTGTAAAAATTCCCATTCCAAAAGAGTGGCATAGAAGATAGAGAAGAATTAGACCAAAGTAACACTGAAACCCAGCAGGCAAGCATCTATCTTGTAGCTTTGTGCCTGGCGTCTGGAGCACCTGGGGGGGTACACTGAGTTCTGAGGGCTTCAGTTGCCCCCCATACAGGCCCTTGCCTATTGGAATCCACAAGGTCTCTCCTGGCCCTCCTCACGGCCTACAGCTTTTCTCAGCAGTCATTCCACACTCCTGGCATCTCTGATTGCCTGGGCTTCCACTGCACTTTGGCTGCTTTTCACAGCCCAAACACTGCCCTTTCAGGAGTCTTCTCCTGGCCTTGGAGGCCTTCCTTTGACCTCCCTGACTCCACAACTCTTGAGTTCTGGATGGTAGTTAACATGAGCATCACACGGATGGCACCGAGTCTGCTGTCAGCGGTAGCCAGGATTGCTTGGACTGTGGTTGCAGAGGCTTTTGTGTGCCTGGATGTCTGAGCACAGTGAAATGAATCCTAAGGAATTAATTCCCTGCAAGGCCTTATGAAATAGGGAGCCCAGAGGCTCTCTTGTGAAACCTTGAGCCTGGGATGGGTAAGGTTTTGCTGATTTCTGAGATGTCTGCAAGGCATCTTTTTTTGTCTCCCTGTACAAAATACCTGCTTTCTTTGTAATGCCACTAATCTTGTTAGGAAGCACATCTCTTTGGCCCCCACTTTACCCATGGTTCCTTCTCAGCCACAACTTAAAATTCTCAAAATTTTCTGCTCAGACATCTGCTCCCAATTCTCACTATAAATCTGGTGAAAAGCTGCCAGCAGGGCCCCTGCCACAACCTGAATGGAAGCCTCCTGCAACTGGCCTTTCCTTTTGCATTCCTATCAGCATTCTGGTCTTCTGAGCTCAAAGCAGAATCTTCCACTGAGCTGTGCTTACAGCATTCTCTAGCCCACATCTCCAAGCCTTTCCAACCTCCCTCCACAAACTGGTTCCACAAAAGATTCTAAACCACAGAGTCGGGTACTGTACATTCGTAGCTGTTTCTGTGACCAGTTTCCCTATTAGCCTTCTTCCCCAGTGCTGACAGAATACCCAGCCACCACAATTTACAGGAGGAAAGATCTAAGTTGACTCAGGTTTTCTAAGGAGATTCTGTCTATGGTCAGTTGGCTCCAAGGCAGAAAGATCCCATGAGAAGGGCATAGCAGAACGCAGATGCTCAGGGCATCCCAGTTGGAGAACAGAGCAGGGGAGAATGCCAGAGGAAGGCCTGCTGGAAGAGACGACCATCCCAGGCTTTGCCTCCAAGCCCCACCCACACACACCCAGAACCTCGCCCACCGATGCCCCAGTCAGGTTCAAAGCCACTTAAATTGACTGCTGTCCCAATTGCCTTGTTGCTTAAGTGTGTTCGTTTGATTACTGTCACATCTGAACTTGTCCTCACATGGAGACAGTTTCTTTTATGTAGTCCTGTGTGAAAAATGGCAGGATGAAGATGATTTTAATACCACTCAACTCAGTGATAAAAAATTGGCAGATAACTTTTTCCCTACTCATTATGAGGGCAATTTCAGTTTTATTATATAAACACTGATAACTATTCAGATGTATTGAAAGGCTAAGGAGACATTAAAAGTCATCAAGAACACTGAGCTATGGATTTATCTCCTGTCTCAG